ACGAACCCCTTTGGCGCCGACGACTTTGCCCCCTCGTCGACCTCGGCGTCCGCCGACGCAGCCGCCCCTGCCGCTGCGACGGCCGCCAACAGCGCCAGCAACACCAACAGCGGCAGTAGCAACTTTGACGACTTTGACTCGGCCTTTGAGGACCTTGGCCAGGCCGAGGTTGTTCCCTCGTCGTCGGCTGGCGCTGGCGGCACCGCTGCTGCTGCCACTGGCGCGCCGATGGCTGGGTTCGACGACGCCTTCGACAACGACTTTGACTTTGTGCCCTCGTTTGCGACGGGCGCCGGCGGCTCGACGGCGGGTGCCAATGCCGCCGCGCCGGCCATCGCTTCGAGCGCGGGGGGCGAGCGATCCGTTCTTCCCCGCCGCCGCCGGCGCCGCTTCGTCGTCGTCATCGGCCGCTGCGGCACCCGCTGCCGCCTCGAACGCTGGCTTTGAGGACTTTGACTCGGCCTTTGATCCCATCGCTGGCACCGACACGTCGACGTCGGCGACGGCGTCCAAGGCGGCAGGAGAGGGGAGCCAGGCCAACTCTGGGTCCGGGTTCAGCTTCGAGGATGCCTTTGCGCCCGCCGCATCGTCTTCTTCGACCGGTGGCGCTGCCGCCTCTGCTGCTGCTGTTGCCCCGACGACGACGACGTACGCACCGCCTCCCGGTCCCCCACCGCCTTCTCTGCCCGAGCGCAAGTCGACGACGACGACGACGACGACGACGGCCGCGGCCAGCCAGGCTGTCAATGCGCTGCCGGACGATGCGGGGCCGGTCAAGCAGCTATGCGGCATGGGCTTCGAGCGGCCCAAGGTGATTGAGGCGCTCGAAAAGAGCAACTACCGCACCGAAAAGGCGCTCGAGAGGCTGCTGGCCCAGGCCTAGGCCCAGGTCTTTGGTTGGGATGGAGCGTCGAGCCGTGCCCGTGCCCGTGCCCGTGCCCGTGCCGTGCCGTCCGTCGAGGGAAGGATGGAAAGGATGTCGAGGGACCCCCTTGGGTTGGAAGGCTCCCTCTCATCGGGTGGTCTCGGCGAGAATGTAGATAACTAGTTATGCAGCCCCTTTCTTTCGCTCTCGCTCGACTCAAAGCAACGCTACCCGTACATGGCCTGGTCGAGGGGAGCGCCAAAGACGCCCTGCCAGCTCGGAGGATGTTGCAGCGGTTTCTCTGTCGGCGCGGGGGGAGCGTGTGGGGGAGAAGGAACGAAGAGGAAAAAGAGGAAGACGGGTCAATGGTGAGCGCGGGGAGCCCGAGGAGGATGCCGGCGTTCGACGAAGGTGCTGGAAGTCGAGAGAGCGGAGGCGCGAGCCGAGTCGACACATACCGACGTCGATCTGGAGACACGTTGCGACGAGGTGGGCGAGCGTCTCTGCGTCTGGACGGTTATCGCCCTCGGCGCAAAAGAGGAGGAGGGCGCCCACGTCTCCCCCTGCCTGTGTTTGTGCTGCTGCTGCTGGGGCTGCTGCTGCTGCGAAAGCGTTGAGGAGCCTGCGCGTCATGCCTCCACCCGGGATGTGCGGGATGCCGTTGCTGTCCTGGTCGCTGCGAGAGAGGGCGGAGAGGTGTTGCGGTGGTGGCCGCACCTCAAAGGGCGGGTAGAGGGTCGAGAGGGCCTGCAAGGCCGGTGTGCGCGGGGGTGCTGGGAAGAGGGTGACGACCGATGTGCTGCGGGAGCGGATGAGGGGGTGGCGGGGACAGGCAGGTCGAGGGAGAGTGTTCAGCGCCGTCGTGGGTCGACGTCGGTTTTCGTGGCAGCGCGCGACTTACGACAGCTCGTCGTCGGTTCTTGCTGCCGCGTCGATGCTAGATAGGGTAGGAGGAGGAGGAGGAGGAGGAGGAGGAGGAGGAGGAGGAGGAGGAGGAGGAGGAGGAGGAGGAGGAGGGCGACGGGACAGGCGGGGATGAGTCGCGAGGTAAGCCTAGACGCAACGGGTAGAGAGGCAGCTCCGCCGTGTGCTGGACTCACCTTGAGAGGACGAGGACCTGCTTGAAGTTTGCCGAGCGGATCCAGGCGACGAGGCGGTCGGTAAAGGCCTTTTCCCTCGACTGTGGTGGGCACGAGGTGCAGAGAGCAAGTCGAGCCAAGAGTGTGAGCGCAAGAAGATGATCCACTGCAAGCCCACGCTGGGCAGGGCAGCGCTCACCTTGAATACGGGGCTGCGGTGCTGGATGACGGTGAGACCTGCGCGGTTCTGAAAGACTGTACGATGGCGCAGGGGAGGTGTTTTGGTCAGCCTTGGCCAAAGCCTCTTATGGGATGGAAGCAAGATGGGAGGCGACCCTCACCTTCGAGTGCAGTGGAGATGGCGTTTCCCTTTGCGCCCTCGTCGGGTCCGGCAAAGGGGATGCAGTCTGAATGGTCTAGACGCGCCACTTTTTCGAGTGCGAGGGCGGGCGAGTGTAGGAGGAGGTCGACGGCGAGCTGGGGTACGGAGCCCACGCTGACCATGGGGAGGATGAGGGTGTTGTCCTCGAAGGACGGCGGTGGGCCTGTGCGTGTGAGCGGGTAGAGGAGGGGTGAGGGCGAAGGGTGGGTCATGGTTGCGAGGCGTGGGATCGTGGGGCGTGGCGAGAGGAAGGAGCGAGGAGAACGGAGAAAGGAGGAGAGAGGGGGTGAGGAGATGAGAGGAGCCAGCCAAGCCCAGGTGTTGGTCCTGGACCTCGACTGGCGCGGCCCTTGGTTGCCTCCACTTTGTGCGGCTGCTTGCGCTCTCGGTTGCTCCGTGCGAGAAGGCAGAGGCTCTCCGATCACCCCACGCTGCGAGACACGCAGGCAGGGCAGGCAGGGCAGGGCGGGGCAGGGCTTGCGTGGTAGCAGCGCAGCTCCACTTGGCCCACGGACCGACGCGGCCCACGTCCTCATCTTGAACCCCCTCCCGCCTTCGACTCTCTCTCCATCTGTCGCTCCTCTACCTCTGACTTGCATCCTCGGCCGCGACTCCCCACCGCACATCTACGCACACCACACAACCGCACAACCGCACAACCGCACAACCGCACAACCGCACAAACGCACACGCACACGCTCCTCACTCTTACGCCACCACCTGTGCACCCCCTCGTCCGCCAGCATGACGTCGCGGCTACCCACAAAGTCGGCCTCGGGCTTCGACTTTTCCTCGTACTCGCGCAACAACCACCTCTCCTCGTCCGGTCTCGGCGGCTTCACCGCCACCTCGACGGGAACCACCATCGTCGGCTGCATCTACCGCGACGGCGTCGTCCTCGGCGCAGACACCCGCGCCACAGAGGGACCCATCGTCGCCGACAAAAACTGCGAAAAGATCCACTACATCTCCGACAACATCCGCTGCTGCGGCGCCGGTACCGCCGCCGACACCGAGTTTGTCACGGCCCTCATTTCCAGCAACATGCAGCTCCACGAGCTCAACACGGGCAGGAAACCGCGCGTCGTCACCGCCATGACGATGCTCAAGCAGAGGCTGTTTCAGTGCGTCCCGGCCTTGCCACCGTCGACCCATCTGACATGGCACGCACACCGACCCTTCTTGCTCACCCCCCTACCGCTCTGCTCCCATCCCTGCCTCTCACCCGCACAGGTACCAAGGGCACATCGGCGCCGCCCTCGTCCTGGGAGGCTACGACGCAACCGGACCCAACCTTTTCACCGTCGCACCGCATGGATCCACAGATAAGCTGCCCTACGTCACCATGGGCTCCGGCTCGCTAGCCGCCATGGCCGTGTTTGAGAGCGGCTGGGTCAAGGACATGGAGGTGAGCCCCAGCTGGTCCCCGCCCCCGGGCGTCCGCCTGCACCGCGGTCTCTATGTCGACCTTTGGTCACTCACACCCTCGCTCCATTCCCCCCTTTGCTCCCTCACCTCACGCTCACCTCGCCGCCCCCGCCGCTCCGCAGCGGGAAGACGCAATCAAGCTGGTGGCCGCCGCCATTTCGTCGGGCATCTTTAACGACCTCGGCTCCGGCTCCAACGTCGACGTCTGCGTCATCACAAAGGACCGGACCGACTACCTGCGCAACTACCAGACGCCCAACGAGCGCGTCGAAAAGGAACAGAGGTACGGCTTCAAAAAGGGCACCACGGCCTTTACAAAGGAGATGATCTACAGCATGATCCAGAAGGAGGGTGAGTCGAGGCGAGGCGCGGCGCGGCGCGGCCCAGTGCGGCCGTGTACCATCCCCCTCGAAACGCAGGGTAGCGAAGCGCGCCCGACAGCCATGCTGACCCCTTCTTTGTCCCCGCGTCGATGGCATTCGCCTCTACCTCATCTCCCGCTCGCTCAGACGTCCTCGAGGTCGGAAAGACGGCGCCCGTACCAGCCGCTGCGGGCGAAGAGACCATGGACACGTCCTAGGCCGGCCGTCCCCTGTGTCGCCGCGGCGAGGTGGCGTCCCTTGCCAGTCTCGTCCAGTCGTCGTTGTCATCATCTGTCTGCAATGACACCGCATTCCACAAGAGACGGCATCCGTCGGCATCGTTGCATCGCATCGTGAATGTGGTCTGAACATTCTCTTCTAGCAGCTGCGTCGGTCCCTCGACGCAATACACCTCGCCCTTCGCTCTAGCGTCGCCGCCGTGGCTGGTCCACGCGTGCCCGCTATGCCGTCTCGTCAAAGACGACGCTCCACTCGTGCTCGACGCGTCCGAGCTGGATGTCGGTGATGCGGTCGAGCATGGCCTTGGCAATGGGCCCGCTGCCGCCCTCGGTGACGGGCACGTGGATGTCGCTGCCCTTGTATCCGATGCGGTCGACGGGCGACACAATGGCCGCCGTGCCCGCGCCAAAGATTTCCAGCAGCGAGCCATCGGCCGAGGCGTCGACGACCTCCTTCATGGTAATCTCGCGCTCCGACACCGTCAGCTTCGAGGGGAGCGAGTCGAGCTTGTGCTTGCCCGACACGTGGTCGCGCGCAATGTGCAGGATCGAGTCGCGCGTCACGCCCGGCAGGATCATGCCATTCAGCGGGGGTGTGATGAGCTCGATGCCTGGCCGGGCGTCAAACGAAGGCAAACGGCGTCGGGTGCGAGGCGAGCAGATCAGAGGAGGTCAGCGGGTGTCCAACACGCAGACTGCTTGCGGCCAGGTGGACAGGTAGATGGTCATGGATCGGGTCCGCCTACTCACCGCCGTCGGCCATCTTCTTGACGACCATGAGGTTCATGGTGCCGACCTCGGTGAGGAGCTCCTGTTCGCCAAAGAGCCACAGGTTCTGCTGGTAGCCGCGCTTGGCCGCCTCCATCTGGGGCAGGATGCCTGGGGCGTAGTTGCCGCCGAGCTTGTAGTGGCCCGTTCCTCCGGGCCAGGCGCGGACCTTGGACGGGTCGGCCTCGAGGGCGACGGGCTTGAAGCCGGTCTTGTAGTAGGGTCCGACGGGCGACGAAATGACAAAGAGGAGGGCGTCCTTTGTCGGGTGGACGCCGAGCGCGGCCTCGGTGCCGATCATGGCGGGTCGGATGTAGAGCGAGTGGCCGGGCTCGGACGGGATCCAGGCCTTGTCGAGGGCGACGAGCTTCTTGATGAGCTCGGTGAGCTCCTCGCCGTCAAACGTCTGCGCAGGCGAGGGCGAGGGTGAGGGTCGTTGGTCGGTCAGTCATCGGCCGGCGGGGCAGGGCAGGGCGGTCCACTGCGGCACCACGGCTGGCACAACTCACGGGCAGGGCGATTCTGGCTGCGCTCATGTTCATGCGCTTCATATTCATGTCGGGTCTAAAGAGGCGGACCTTGCCGTTGACGTCCTTGTAGGCCTTCATGCCCTCAAAGAGGCTTGGGGCGTAGTGGAAGATGACGGCGGATGGATCGAGCTGGAGGGGGGCGTAGGGGTGGATCTTGGGGGGAGCCCATCCGGAAGCGCTGTTCCAGGGGATGCTGAGCATGTGGTCTGCAAAGTTTGCGCCAAAGACGAGCGACTGCGAGGGGGGAGGGGTGCGGGGTGCGTTTGTGCGCTCGAGGATGAGCTCCGAGGCGGCGAGGCGCTTGAGGCCGGTGGCCTCGCCCGTCATGGGGTCCAGGGTGACGCTCGAGGGAGAGGCGGACGAGGACTGGTGGCGGACGGCCATGGTGCAAGGGGAGGCGACAGCCGCGGCGGGCAGTGGCCTTGCTGCGCGAGGCAGCGCCGTGCGCAATGTGGGCAGGGTGCGGGCGAACATGGGGGGCGGTGGGCGGGTCGTGTGTCGATGCGGGGCGACCGAGGGGGTGACGGGTGGGAAGCGCGTTGTGTATGTGTAGGATAGAAGAGGTTCAAGCAAGCTGTTCGGCTGCCAGGCGAGTGTGCTGGTGGAGAGAAGGTGCGGTGCGGGGATGATGGCAAGCGTTGGAGGCAAAGGTGGTGGAACGGGCCAGCAGGCTTCGCTAACCAGCCTCGACCGACTGAGCGAGGCCTCTGGGCTGGCCTGGCTTGGCCTCGCCGTGACTCGCTCATCGCGGCCAACGGTCGGCCAAGCCGGTCCACCTCTCGCGCGCCCTCGCTGCCAGCCAACTTCCCAACCTCGGCCACTTGAACGGCCAGCCCCCGCCCCCGCCCCAGCCCGAGCCCCAACCCCGACCCCAACCTCGGCCTCAGCGCGCAGCTTCCCCCCTGCGATTCCCGTCTCCCGCGTTCCAGCCGGGTAGCCAATCCCAACCCGCAGCCCGTAGCCCGCAGCCCGAGCCGGTTCTCCACCTTCCTCACGCTCTCTCTCCATCTCGCCATCTCTCCATCTCCGCCTGCCTCTGGACACCACCACCGGCACCTTCCGCATACCCGAGCCGCGTCCACGCTTCCGTCCCCTCACCATCTTCAACTCAGCGCAAATCCAATCCTTCCCCACCACACTGCGCTATCGCCATGTCGTCGCTCAACTTCTGCGCAGAGTGGTGCGTATGCCACTGACTGCCGTCGGCTGCTCCCCATCTCTCAATGCCCGCTCGCTGACCATTCGTCATTACTTTTCCCCGTCCCCCTCATCGAATCACCGCGCACAGCAACAACCTCCTCTATCCAGAGGTCGATCGCACCAACCACGTCCTCCTCTATGCCTGCCGCAACTGCAACTACTCGGAAGAGGCACGGCAGTCGCTCGTCTTTCGCAACGATCTTATGAGCGTCACAAAGGTGCACCTCGGTCCCTCGCCCGCCCGCCCGTCCGCCCCGTACTGCGCTATTAGCACCCCCGCTCATGCTCATCCGCCCTCTCCGTCTCTGTCTCCGTCTCTGTCTCCGTCTCCGTCTCTTGACCCGCCGCAGGAACAACCGGGCGTCATCGACAACCTCATGAAGGACCCTACCTTGGCTAGAACACAGGACCTCTCGTGTCCCGACTGCGGTCACTCGGAGTGCGTCCCCCACCTCTCGTGCTTCTCCCGCTGCCCTTATACCGGCCGGCCGTTCCTGACACTCCTCTCCGATCCCTACCCGTCCATCCCCGAACCTCTCCCGACCACCAGAGCGGTAGTCTTTCAGGACCAGTCGAAACGAATCCTCAACCGTGAGTGAATCTCTCTCATCGCCTTGCCCCTTCCTGCTCTCGCCGCCCGTCAGCCCATCCCCAGCACGACACTGACCCTCCCGCTCGCACCTTGATTCATCGCGTTGGCATCCCCGGCACTCGTTCGTGCAGGAATGATCCTCTTCTACGTCTGCACGCGCTGCAACCACCTCTTCCGCGACCCACCACAACAGGCCCCTACCACCGGCCCGGGACAGGTGTGGAACGACCGCAAGAAAAAGTAACCCCCCCCTGGCCCCCCTCGTCCCTTGCGCTGCACCCCGCGCAGCCGCCTCGACCATCGTCTGCTCGATGGACACGTCCGCTCGCGCTCGCGCCCGCGTCATCTTCATCTCCAACCTCTCTCGATCCGATCCGCCCGCCATCTGCCCCTTGTAACACTAGCCACGCAAACCCTTTTCGCTCTTCTGCAATCAGAGACGGCTCGACAGTCGCGTTCCGTGTCGGTGGGTTTCCCCTGACGACGCCACGACTCGACTCGAACGGTAAGCAGACGAGAGGAGAGAAGAGGGTCCACAACCAACGATGCTGGACCTCTAAGCATGGGATGGATAAGGAGGACCGCCCGCCGATGGCGAGAGAGAGATTAGAGAGAGATCTCGATGAGGGGGTAGGATAGCAACAGGGCGCGTTGAAAGGATCCGCCCTCGGGGTAAGGGTCCGTCCAAGCGCCCGCTCGGCTGGGGCTCAGGCGCTACTTGTACTTGTCCTTGTGGATCCAGCTGAGACCGACGGTATCGTATCCGCCCTGTTCGGCCATGCGGTAGTACATGGCGGCCTTTTTGAGGTCCTTTTTGCACCCTTTGCCCGAGGCGTACAGCGCGCCCGCCTCGGCCTGGGCATCGGCGTCGCCCAGCCGCGCCGCCAGCTCAAAGTACTCGAGCGCCATGGCCTTGTCCATCTTGACGCCCCAGCCGTAGCAAAAGCACTTGCCCAGCTCGTAGACGGATAGCTTGAGCTCCGACTGCATGGCGACGCAAAACAGAGTCCAAACATGAAGAGCGGGAGGGGGGGGGGGGGGGAAAGGGGGCAAGGCAGGATGTGAGCTGGACGGTCAGTCGGGAATAGCGGGTCCCTCCACCAGGCCGGCCGCGTCGCCACCGTCGCATGACGGGACCCACCTTGATGGCCTTGATCTCGCTCTCGCTCTTGACGCCCCCGCCCTGCATCATCTCGCCCGCCTTGGCCGCGGCGCGCTGGATCCACTCAAAGCCCTTTTTGGGGTCCTTTCGCGCGCCCCAGCCCTCGCGCAGCGCCATGCCAAACATGCACATGCCCACCACGCAGCCGCCGTCGACGCGCGCGCTGCGCTCAAAGTAAAACGCCGAGCGCGACAGGTCGCCCTGCTCGTGGTACGTGATGCCCTGCGACAGAAAGTCTTCGGCCGACGACGGGCCCGTACGCGTGTCGGTGCCCTGCTGCGACTTGGTGCTCCGCGCGCTGCTCGTCTTGTCCGTCGTCGACGACATGGCCGACGAATCGGAAAACGCAGAGAGCGTCGGCTTCATCGCCGCAGAAGAGGCGGTGCCAGCCGCGAGCATCGGCGACGACGACGAGCCCGAAAGGCTGCTCTGCATCGTCGGCAGCGCCGCCGATGATTTCGCCTGCCGCAGGGGTGGAGGCGCAGCGGCAGCCCGCGGTGTACCCGCTTGCGTCGGTACGCCACGCTTTGCAGCGGCTGTATCGTGGCTGCCGCCTCCGCCGGCCGTGCTGGCGCCCCACTGCTGGCTGGCGTTGGGTAGCACCGTATCCTGCATCGGATGGGTATTGCTCCTCGACGGGCTCGGCTGTCGCTCGGCGGCCGGTCCGCTCGGCGACGAAAAGGCGCGCCGCGGACTGGGTAGATCTGCGGGCCGCAGCCGCGCATTGGCGTCCCAGGCAGCTTTACTCGGCGCGTTCGTTTCGCGGCTGCCGCCGCCGCTGTCAACGCCCAGCTGACCGCCCTCCTCTTCTGCCGTGCCAGGCAGTCCGATATCCTCGTAGCGCACCGTGCCGATCGACATTCGGCTCGTCATGATGCTGTTGATGGTGCTGGTGCTGTCCCTGCGGCTGCTTCCGTCGAGCCGCAGCGTCTCGACGTCGAGATCGGACACGATGCTCTCCCGCCCGTTGGCCGCAGCGATGGCCTCGGTCCGCGCACGGCCCAGCACCGGACGTGTTGCGGCGGCCGCAGCCGGGCTCGGTCGGTTGGGATCGGCATAGCCGGCTGGGCTGAAGCCAGACGACGGCGTCGTCGGTGTCGGCGGCGGCGGTCGCCCCGCAGGATGGCCCGACGTCTTGCGCGGCTTCGCCTGCTGCCCGATGATGGGCGAGCCGTGGGGCTGGGCCAGCAGGTTCGAAGGCGCCACGGGACCCTTCGGCCTGGCCTCGGCGTGGTGCAGAAGGTGGCCCTTCGCGTAGGCGGCCATGGCCTGCTGGGGTGACTCGTCCATCGTCTCGACCACTGCCCTGCTGCCTTGGGGCAGTGCGGCGTGGCCGGACCCCGTTCCAGCGATGCCGTCGCCGCCAGCGCCGCCTTTGCGCGAAGCTTCGGAGCCCGACGGGCTGGGAGGGTAGACGTAGACCTTGGCGCCCCCCGAGCCCAGCGTCGAGGTCGAGTCAGTGGCCCTGTGACCGAGCTGCCTCTGTGAGCCGGCCATCGGGGTCTGGTCGACGTCGCGGCGCGCGTACGCCGTGTCTGCGGAGCCGCTAGCTGATGCCTCGTCGAATTCGGCCTCGTAGATCGAGGGGACGAAGCTGTGACGGTGCGACTGAGGGGGCTCAGCGCTGAGCAGGCCATTGTTGCTGCCCGCACCCGCAGACGACCCTATGGTGGACCGCGTCAGGTTGACGACGTGCTCCTTGGCCGGGACTGAGTGGATTTGCGGGAGCGGCGAGGACGTCGCTCCTTGCTTTTGCAGCTGTGGCTGCTGCTGCATTTGCTGCTGCTGCTGCCGAAGTTGCCGCTGCCGCTGGATCTGGGTATGCGTGCCCGTTCCTCCTTCGGCCGGTGCCTGTTGGCGCTGCTGCGCCGCCTTCCACTGGATCGTGAGGCTGTCGAGCTTGGAGCCGGATTGAAGGTCAAAGGGTGAGCTGCCCTGACCTGGCTCAATCTCAAGGTCCTTGCTGTAGACCTCTGACCTCCAGCTGCCGCCGGCGGCATCATCACCGTCGTCATCGTCTCCGCCGTAGACGCTCTCGCCGTACTCGGTCTCCTCGTCGTCGGCCTTGTTGGCCCAGGCGCGGCCCCACCTTCCGTGCTCGCCAAACTCGGAGCTGCGCACTGTGTCGACCGAGTCCCGCCGCATCAGGTCCGGCGAGTAGATATCGGCGGGTATCCCTGAGCTGCCCGCCGCGCCCACGCTGATGCCGCCGCCGTCGTCATACAGGGACGAGCGGTCATTCTGACCGGTGATGGAGTTGAAGGAGATGTCCGAGGCGATGGAGTCGCGGAAGGCATTGCTCAAGAGATGCCCGCTCTCCCTCTTCTGCCAGGACGGGTTGTCGGGAGCGGCCGACGTCGAGGCGGCGAACCTCTGCGGTCCGACCGAGTCGCCTTCATCGTCGTAGCCCAGCTCCCTGGCCGACTTCCACTGCGAGTGAGAGCCGCGGCCAGCGAGGATCTCACGCCTAGAGCCCGCCGAGGTGCGCCGCGAGATGACCGAGAAGGATGGCGCGTCGGATCCCTGGGGCGCAAGGTTGATGCTGCGCACGCTCTTTGCGTCGTCGAAGTCGTCTGGGTCGGGCGAAGGGTGGTAGGGAGCGTGCTTGACCGATGTCTTTCGTGAGAGGGCGGTCGCTCTTTCGTAGATCTTGCTCTTGCCCGAGTGGGCTGCGTCGATTTCTGGGCGCCAGATGTCGTGCTGTACCTGTTTTCCGCGCTGCATGAGCATCTCTAAGGGTGACAGTTTGGGTGCGGTGCCGTTGGGCGCGCCAGTGGCGCCGCTGCTGCTGGGGGGATCGGCGGCATTGGCAGGCGATGGGCTGAAACCGTAGTCGGACCAGCCTGCGGAGTCGGGTTCCGAGAGGGACGGGCTGGTGAGGGGTGTGTGGGCTCCGCGCGAGGAGCCAGTGCCGGCCGACGAGGCTTGTGAGCTGGACGACGAGGAGCGGGGCTGAGCCTCGTAGCGGCCGGGTCTTAGGCGGTCCATGGGGGTCGATATTTGGGGTTTGAAGGGGTGATCTAAGGCGGTGGTGGGGGAGGTTGTCGAGAGGGATGTTGCAGCATCCGGTGCTCTAGCGGGTATCGCCGGGGACGGGTATGGCCACGCAGACGGTGGTGCGGCGGCGGTCGTGAGGCGGGTGAGTGGGCAGCCTAGGCGCGTGCAGGGCCAAGCGGTTATGATGGTGGTGGTGCCGGTGGTGGTGGTGGTGCGGCAGAAGAGGAGCGGGATGCTGTGGACCCAGGAAGGTGGAGCGTGCGAGCAAGCGCGCGGAGGCGGCAGCAGGAAAGGGGAGGTGACGGCGGGGCAAGAGAAGAGCTAGGCCAATATCTGTCCGTTGGCCGTCTATGTGGTGGGCGGGGAACGTAGCCTGATGTGGTAATGGCGAGATCGTCGGGGTGATTGCCAAGAGCCAAGGAAGGGGAGAAAGAGGGGGGAATGGGTGGTGCGCAAGCGAGAAGGCGACGAGGGCGAGGAGAGGTATCGGAAGGGTGATGGGGCAAAGAGGGCAAAGCTGCTCGACAGAGGACCGGTCGGGCCGCGCTACGCGGGTCGGCAACCAGCCGTACGTCGAGATAGAGTGGCCGGCTGGCCGACGGGCGGGCAAGCGTTGTGCATGGTTGGTGCGAGCGGCGGCGGCGGCGGCGGCGGCGGCGGCGGCGGCTGCCAAAAAAGGAGCAAGCAAGCAGCAAGCAGGCAGGCAAGCGGGCGGGCCGGTGCGTGGGTCAACAGCCAAGCAGCGCTGGCAGCGGCCAGAGAGAGGGAGCGAGGGGCGGCCCTTTTTCGTCGCCTGCCCCTGTGGCCCCCGAGCTTTGGCTTTGGCTCTTGACCGCCCACCCGACATGGGCCAACAGCGGTACGCAACGGTACGCTTGCCTCTCGGTTCAGTCCTGCCAGCCCGCGCCCTCAGGGGCCAAGATGAGCCTAAATCGCTCCTTGGGCGTACCGAGCGGGTTTTGCGCGCGGCCCTTTGGGCACAGCCCAACTCTGCTAACGACGTCCGCACACCGACCGCGAGGGTCGTGTGAGAGGGACGTCGTTTGGCAGGCCGCAGGCAGGCAGGCAGGCAGGCTGGCAGGCTGGCAGGCAGGCAGGCACGCGGCCAACCAAGGTTGCCCTTGCGACCGATCGGCGCACGTCGTATGCATACAACACGCACCTCGAGCTGGGCAGGGCTGGCCCCCGTTTGGCATCCAGCCCAACCGGCGTTGCGGCGACCGAGGGCGTAGGCAGGCAGGCAGGCAGGCTAAGGGTGTCGCAGAGGGGCACCTGCCGGCTGTTGATCGCCCACCTGCAGTTGCGGCCAGCCACTCGGCCTGCCTGCCTGTTGCGAAGAGCAGCCAGCCAGCCAGCATAGAGCAGGCCGAGCTGGACCCTGAGATTCTTAGATTTCAAGATTGCCGGCTTCTTCTCCACACGCAATCCTTGAATTGGTCGTCGCAACCTTGACATCACCACCACCACCACCACCACCACCATTTCCGCCATCGCCACCGCGACTCGTTCCCACGGTCCAAACGTACCTCTCCCGCAATGACGGCGACCTCGCCTTCCATACCGACCGCGCCCGTGCTGCAGCCTCCGCCGCTGTTTGCGCCCGTCGCACCCTGCATCTACCGCAGCGCGACGCCCCCGCCCTCGTCGCACGCCTTCCTCTCGACGCTCCATCTCAAGACCATCCTCAGCCTCACATCGGAGCTGCCTTCCACCTCGCTCCAGTCCTACGCCCGCAAGAACGGGATACGCTTCATCCACTTTGGGCCCTACTCGTCCTCGTTTCCACAGGCCTCCTCGGCATCGGCGTCGGCCCCCTTCTCGCTGCCCGCCTTTGCCTCTTCCTCGTCTCTCTTCAACAGCACCGCCGCCACCACCACCGCCAGCCCACCCACCATCGCCGCACCCATCAGCAGCACCATCACCACAGAGACGCTCAAGGACTCGCTCCAGCTCCTCCTCGACTCGTCAAACCACCCCATCCTCGTCACCGACACCAGCGGAATACAGGAGACGGGCATCCTCCTCGCCTGCCTCCGCAAGCTGCAGCGCTGGAACTTTGCCACCATCCTCGTCGAGTACCGAAACTTTGCCGGAAACCGCGCAAGAGCCGCAAACGAGAGGCTCATCGAGATGTTCGACACCGACCTCATCACACTGCCCCAGCAAGAGGACCTGCCCGCATGGTTCGCACAGCAGGTCGCATGGGACGAAGACGAGCTCGACCGTCGTAGGATGGGCGAGATGCTGTGACGCGCACACCTACCACCTGCACAGTGATAGCTTCAGCGGCCACACTGAAGAGGGCGCGACGGGGGCGAAGGCGCACCAATCGAGACAATCGAGGTTGCGACAACGTGCACATGGAGATTGACGGAATTCGACGGCATTCGGCAGGCAGGCAGGCCTATAATCGGGCATTCTGGACCGCCGACGGGCAACAATCATGAGCGCACGCTGCCGCGCCTAGACGACGCCATACGGACCCGACAGCGGCAGCCGCATCGAACGTGTGGCCACCTGGCCCGTCGACGCCCTCGACGCCACCATCGAAGCCGCAATCGGCAGATTGGCCGACGCTGCTGCCGCCGCCGAGCCGCCCTCGCACTGCCGCGCGATGAGCTGGTCCAGGTCGGCGTTGCGTAGCCGCTCGCGCTCCTCTTTGGCCTCGCCCTGCATCCGCTCAATCTCGTCGGCCACCTTTTGCGGCCAGGCGAGGTACGCCTCGACGCTCTCGCGCGCGTCGCCCTCCATCAGCTGCTCCAGGTCCTCCCACGTGTCGTCGTCCGGCCCAAAGCCCTTCCAGCGCACCAGGCACTTTGTCGACGCCTGCGACATCGTCACAATGTGCGAGATCTCGTACACCTCGCCGTTGCCCTCGCCCTCGACCTCGGCCTCGCCCTCTTGGTCGGCAGGCGGTGCAGAGCTGGCGAGAGCGTCGAGAGCGACTCGTTCGTCCTGCGCCTCGGCCTTGAGCGCCGTCGCCGACAGGGGCGGTGGGCGCTCAAACTGCCTCTGCTGCTGGGGCACCAGCCATTTCTCCGGAATCGTGTAGGTGAGGTCGCCCTCGAAGAGCGAGTAGTAGCCCTTCTTGTCCTCGTCGTCAATCGTCGCAGGTTCGCCGCCCGCGGCTAGCGCGCCTTCGCCCTTGATCCTGTCAGGGCTGAAGCCGCCGGTGCCGTCCTGGTCGCCAGCCTCGGCACCGGCGCCGCTGGACGCGGCGACGCTCCTCTGCCGCGCCGTCAACGCTCTGCCGCCGCGCTTGGCGCCCTTGCGACCCTTGTTGTTCGCCTTGCGGTCGCGCTCCCGCATGTACTTGTGCACCTCGCAGAGGGCGTGCTCGATGTCGACCATGTTGAGGCCCGGCGGACGGGCGTCGCACAGCTGCGGCGGGTCGGTGATGCCCATACGCAGCCAGTGGTCGTGCTGCTGCTTGTAGATCCACTGCATGGCCTGCAGCTCAAAGCCTTGGACGTAGCTGCCAAACATGGACACGAGGCATGATCTGGAGCCTGGTCCGCATGCCGCGTACTCGTCCTCGGACACGTCGATGTGGGGTGTGAGATTGAGGTCGAGCAGCAGCCTGGGTATAGGACGTGCGAGAAGGCCAACAGAAGCGGACAAAAGGTGGGGTTAACGATGGACCGGAGCAGATGCCGGGGACGAGGGCGGCTGGAACTCACTGCATGCCGAGAAAGGCGCCAATGGACGGGTAGACGCAGATGGCGGCGTGGGCGTCGCGCATGTGCTTTAGGTCTGCGAGCTTCTGTGGCAGACCGGTGCGCATCATGAGCGAGATGAGGCGGAGGGTGCCCTGGAAGGGGTACTGGCTCTTGAACTCCTTTGGCGCGGGGATGTAGTAGGAGCTGCCGTAGATGGGTTTGCCGGCGCCGATGTGGGGGAGGAGGATGTTGTCGTAGAGCTCGGGAGAAAAGGAGCGGTAAGAGGGAGGCCCGCCGAGGGCTTCTGTGATGAGCTCGTAGGTTGAGATGCGGGCAAAGGATCGAAAGAGGATGACGCGGAAGCAGCACTCCTCGAGCGACTGGTCGCCCTTTGCGATGACGTCGGTGAGGACAAACTGGGTGCCGCGGTCGAGAACGCGGAATACGTTTGCAAACTTGTTGGACTTGAAGATGGGGTCGTCGGTCCACTGTTCTCGCGGCTTCCCCTGCCTGCGGCGGGTGTGAATGCGATGGCGCTCGTGGCACCAGTAGAGGAAGGTGTCGAGGACGTCCTGGTTGAGGGGCAGCTGGAGGTCCGGGGTGATTGCGACCTCGTTTGGCAGAGGGTGCGAGGTGGCCGTGTCGACGTGTGCTGTTGTTGTTGTTGCTGCTGCTGCTGCTGCTGCTGCTGCGAGCGAGTCGTCTACGGCTTCCTCTTTGGTTGTGCGAATTCGCTTCGAGGCGCGCGGCGAAGAGGGCGGGGAACGCAGGTCGATGGCCTCGTCCCTGGCCGACGTGGATGTCGAGGCGCGTGCCATGACGGACACGGATGGGTGATAGAAGGGACGTCGAAGAGCGAGTTTGACGATGATGGTGACGGGTAGGCGGTGAGGAGGAGGAGGAGGAGGAGGAGGAGGAGGGGCGAGGAAGGAAGGAGGGTTGGCTGGCCCACGCTGCCAGCTCGTTTGGCCGCCCAGCAAGGGTCCGAGCGGTGGGGGGGGGGG